AGTCCCTATAAATTGCAGGGACACCGGGGCTGGCGAGAAGGGGGAGCAGGGGGATGGCAGGGGCCGGTGTGGGGGGGGTGACTGTTGGTGGGTCAGAGGGCCCTGGGGGAAATGGAGGTGCTTTAGACGGTTAATCTCTGTTTTGGTGACCTGGCTTAGGGTCTTTGTGTGGACCCCATGGGTTGAGCAGGGGTGCTGGGCTGGTTTCACCCCATGCAGGAAGCTCTCATGCTACTGGGTGACCTCCCAGAGAGCCTGGCACCCGTTGCGGCCCTACTGTGGCATGGTGACATCCCCGGTGTGATGGGGATGTGCCAGGGACATCATCCCCCTGGCTTCTTCTCCCCCATCCAGGCTCTCAGCATCGAGCGAAGGCCTTGGGACCGGCTTGGGCAATGGAGATGTGCTGGGGACACCATCTCCCCAGCTTGTGCTCCTCCATCCAGGCTTTCAGCATTAGCAGGGGTTGTGGGGACGAGTTTGGGTGGTAGGGAAGTGCTGAGGATCTGCCCCATCTGGGCTTTGAGCATTGAGCTGGGGCTGTGGGGATGAGGTTGGGTGACAGGGACGTGCATGCAGCTTTGCAGGAGCAGCCAGCTGCTCCCCTCCTTGACGTCTCTCCTGCTTGCTCCCGGCAGGTATCCGAGTCTCCTGCCAAGACGGACGAGCCTGGGCATGCAGCGGGGGCTGGGGGGGGGCACGTGGCCCGCATGGGGAAGGAAGCCATCATCGTCACCCTCCATGGTGCCAGCAACCTGCCAGCCACGCGGGAGGGCCAAGTGCCATGGCCGTACGTTGTCGTGTGAGTACCCAGCATCCACAGAGGGGGAGAACGGAGATCGTGGCGACAAAGTGAAAGGGTTTAGGAGCTGTCGCCCTGTTATTAACTCTTTGCAAGCCCCAGGGAGTCGGGAAACATCTCTAGCAGCGATACGCAGAAGCATCGCCTCCATGGGATACTCAGTGTGGGGAGAGGAGCAGGGAGTCCTCCCTGAGATGGGGAAGGCAGGGGACAGGGCGCTTGAGCTCGCTGGGGCATCGGGAAGAAAGCATTCCTAATATTGGAAGTATGAAATGATGTCAAAGAATCCACAGGGTAATGCTGCCTGGGTTTCAGGATGATATCACAAGAAATAAAAGAGTATTTTAATAAATAAAACAGGATGCTTGGGTGAGGAGAACTTGGCTCTTCGTGCATTATGCATGTGCCAGGGGACTCAATTAGCCGGTCATGCTTTGGTCTGTGTTAAGAGGGAGGCCGTCCCGCTCAGCGCTGCTGCGGGGTAAGCCTGCGATCCCAAAGCGCGCTTCCTGGATGCAGAGTGGTCCAGCATCACTTCCCTGGAAAAGGGGGGAGGAAGCAGCTGGTGGTGGCTTAGGAGCATTGCCTGGCTCCCTGCGGAGTTTGGTTTCTCCAGGGCATCTCCCCGGGGCAGTGCAGGGCAGACTGGTACCCAAGTTGGGACATCGATGCTGGGGACCAAGGCTCATCCGCTGGGGACAATCAGCAGCCACGGCTGTGAAAGCCTGGAAACATCTTCTCTGCAAGGGAGTAGAGCAAACTGTTGCTTGCTGGGCTTTTTCCAGCGTGGAAACCCTGAGCTCGGTGGTGAAGGGGGTCCCAATGTCTGTCGGCGCGGCACAGCGTGCCTTTTCTCCACAGTGCCTGGCGCCAGTCGCGTCGGGTATCCCAGAGGCTCCCTGGGTGGGAGGGATGTGGCTCTCCATCCTCGAATTTTTGGCAGCTGGGGCTGGGTGGCAGCTGGAGCCCAGAGGGAGCCGGCTGGCACAAGGGCTGGCAGCCCCCACT